CGAGATCCTGGAATCCCGGGATGGAGTACCACATCAGGCTCCTAGCATGGAGCCTGCTTCTCCTTCCTCCTGTGTCTCTGCCTCTCTCTCTCTCTCTCTGTCATAAATAAATAAATAAACAAATAAATAAACAAATCTTTTTTAAAAAAAGAAGCACATGTGAAAAGGGAGGTTTGAGAGAAGAAAAAATTTTAAACTTAAGAAAAACTGCTAGTGCTTAGAAAGCTCTCAAGCTACTCCATTACATTCTATACCATAAAAATGTTTTGTTCCAGGTAACTGTGGGCTCATGAATTTAGTTATCTGGTTATTTGAAGATTTTAAAACCAAAGGTGAAAGAGGCGGCAGTAATACTGCCTTCACAGTCCTGAGTTTGCAGAAGGAAGGAGATGATAGCAGGAGTACCCCTAACAGCTGCAACCTCTAGGAGACCATCAGGATCAAGACCAAGCTGATCTCTCCAGCCTCTTCCAGAATGAGCTTCCTTCTCTCATGGGTCTCTCCTACTTCATCCCTGGGGTGGGAAGTGGGAAAGAGTCCCAACAGCTTTTAGGCTGAGACCCCCTTCTCCAGACACCTGTCCCACCTAGAATGACCTCTCCACATTCAGTGGCACACTCAGGAGGGCACAAATTCTCCTCCCTTCTCCAATGTACCCAGAGAGCCTGGTGCCCAACTTCCACAGGGGAATTAAGGGAGGAAGGGGGGGGAAGAGTAGAGAAACGGGATTTAGTAGATGGCCAGGTGTACCACACTGTTCTTAATCCTTCTGGGGGTTACTGACCCCCTGGAGAATCTGAGACATCTGTGGGCCTCTATCCTAAAAAATGTACAACTCTCACTGCACTCTACATACAGACTGGAGTGTGCATACCCATGGACCCTATCTTCAGAACCCAATACGGGGAATCAAATTAGAGGGATGAGTCAGATATTGAGCATTCCCACGTCATAACAAAATGTTTGGTTCATGAAGTCAGAAACCACTCAGAAGACACTGAGTTGAGCTGCAGACTCTTAACATATAAGGGGATGGTCAAGCACTCAAGAAATATTCAGCAGACTGGGATCCCTGGGTGGTGCAGCGGTTTAGCGCCCGCCTTTGGCCCAGGGCGCGACCCTGGAGACCCGGGATCGAATCCCACGTCAGGCTCCCGGTGCATGGAGCCTGCTTCTCCCTCTGCCTATGTCTCTGCCTCTCTCTCTCTCTCTCTCTCTCTCTCTCTCTCTCTGTGTGTGTGTGTGTGTGACTATCATAAATAAATAAAAAAATTAAAAAAAAAAAAGAAATATTCAGCAGATAGTTGGGAGCAATGGAATTGAAGCTTGAGTGAACTTACCTGAAAACAAGAGTTGGAGATTACCTACAAAAGGAAGACAGAAGGCACTCTAAGAGTAATGTGCAAAGAACACTGAGTCAGGGCCCCCAGAGGTGTGAACTGCCTGTGAGGAGAGGGTGCAAGGTCAGCACAAGAGAGGGAGGTCTATAAAAAGACAAAGAGGTAGAACATCTACATCCTCCTAGAAGTCATGGGTAAGAATCTCCTCCTAGTTTCACATTGAAAATCTAGGGTTCATACCCTTTGGACTACATGACACAGAGGGAGGAGAATCTTGCACTGTGTGGCACTTCATGTCCCTGACAGCCTTCAGAGTCATGATTTGGGGCTCAGTTTTGAGTGAGCGTTTTTTTTTTTTTTAAGATTTTATTTATTTATTCATGAGAGACACAAAGAGAGAGGCAGAGACAGAGACATAGGCAGAGGAGAAGCAGCCTCCATGCAAGGACCCTGATGTGAGACTCGATCCCAGGACTCCGGGACAATGCCCTGGGCCAAAAGCACACACTCAACTGCTGAGCCACCTAGGCATCCCTTGAGTGAGCCTTGGCAAAGCTTTCACAACTTCTTCACTGAAAAGATATACAGGAGCAACCCCCTTCAATCCAGTCATCATAGTCAAAAGGTCTCAAGTAAAGGAAATGATCAGCAAAAGCCAGCATATAGGATCCTAAAGATAAATGACAGTTGCTGCAACAAAACTACAAGAAAAATAGAATGAGCATATATAAATTTAAGAAAAAAAGATACCTCAATCAAATGCAATGTGCAGACTACTTATTTGGATTCTGATATGAACCAATCAACTGTAAAAATATTATTGGAGAGACGCCTGGGTGGCTCAGCAGGTGAGCGCCTGCCTTGGGACCAGGGTGTGATCCTGAAGTCCGGGGACTGAGTCCCACATCGGGCTCCCTACATGGAGCCTACTTCTCTGTCAGCCCCCCCCCAACCCCCCGTGTCTCTCATGAATAAATAAAATCTTAAAAAAAAATTATTTGAAAATCAGAGCCATTTGACCATAACCAAATGTTTAGGTGGGGAAAAAGATATTATCAATGTTTGGGTTTTTTTAAAATATATTTTTTTTAATTTTTATTTATTTATGATAGGCACACAGTGAGAGAGAGAGAGAGAGGCAGAGACACAGGCAGAGGGAGAAGCAGGCTCCAAGCACCGGGAGCCCGACGTGGGATTTGATCCCGGGTCTCCAGGATCGCGCCCTGGGCCAAAGGCAGGCGCCAAACCACTGCGCCACCCAGGGATCCCGTTTGGTTTTTTTTTTTAAGATTTTATTTATTTATTCATGAGAGACACAAAGAGGAGGTAGAGACGCGCAGAGGAAGAAGCAGGCTTCCCGAGGGAAGCCGGATGTGGGACTCGATTCTGGGACCCCAGCATCATGCCCTGAGCCACAGGCAGATGTTCAACTGCTGAGCCACCCAGGCGTCCCTCATCATTGGTTTTTAGGCAGAATAATGGTATTGTAGATACCCTGGGCAGCTTCTTATCTCTTAGAGATACTCAATGAAATACTGATGGAAAAACTACATCCTGGGACTATGCCACCTAAAAAGATTCAGGTTTTGTTTTTAAGATGGAGGAGACAGGCAGTGAGATGAAACAAGATCAACTAAGAGTTTGTAACTCCAACTGGTGATGGATGACAGACCTAAACCAACTGTGCACCAGTTTAAGAGGCTGTCTTTTCCTTCAAACTCTGAGGTGGATTGCAAATCCAATTTTAGGGAGGGAAAAGGACTTTTTATTTTGTTACCAGAATATATTGCAAAACATAATACTACTTGTTACTTTTATTACTCAGTATTCACACAGGCAAAAATATAATTATTTAAAAAACAAAAACACGCTTTAAAATGTAATCACACAAGAGAAATCATCTGCTTACCTTCCACTGCACAAAAACATGTTCAATTTGTTAGGGCGATTACTCACTAGGTAAAATAACTTCACTTAAAGGGAAAATTCTTCCCCAGAGCATCCTCTTTATGAACTAAACAATGGAAAATTTTCACCTCAGCAAGCTGGCCTTGGAGGCTCAGGCTCAACCCTGTTGCCTAGATACCAGTGACATCTCCAGTGCTTACAGAAGGCTCTGGCACCTCTCTGCAAGGGAGCCTGGCTAAGGTTCATCAGTCAGCAGTTGCTCCTTCCTTCCACATTCCACTACTATGACAGACACAGGGATGGTATATGGTGTACTGGTCTGCCATTTGCGAAGCCCCAAAGCACAAAAGAACTCTATTCCATCTGCAAGTGGTTTTTACAATTTTATCAACTCTGGTGCTGGTTCTTATGTACTTGATTTCTAACAATTCCTGTGAATTCTAGTCTAAAGTCACAAAGCAAATAAATCAGTTGGAATAAGAGTGAACAGTTCAACTGACTTTTTCTCCAAAGAAAAAGTTACTAAGATCAACTGGTTTTTTATGTCAAATATGATAAAGTATTCATTTCACCAGCTTCTAATTATGATAGTGGCTTAAGTTAAAAGAATAACACCACCCCCCTGAAACTTCTTTTTAAAAACTTAACACCAGGCTACAGGATGCAATTATACAAACCTCACAGCAGCAACACAAGTAAATAAGCACCTGAGTTTGCTTAAAATGTAACCCTGCTTAAAAAGCAAATACTGCAAACATTTTAAATACTAGAATTCATCAAAATTACTGTAATCATGGTGCTTTATTAAAAAAAAAAATCACAAAACTGGTGAACTGCAACATTTTCGTTACCGCTTTTCAAAAGTTTCGACAACTATTCTTTCCAAAGACTTTATTCTTATGTACCTTTAACTACCAAAATGTTTCATTCCAAGCAGTAACTAGTTCTATTTCCATGGGATTTAAGAGCACTAGGCTTGACTGTTTTCTACATTCTGTTTTCACAACACTTGAGGGCTCTTTTTTTCTGCAAGTGCAGCTTTCTGGACGTAGGAAACCGAAGGATACAAATCATTAGGATAGGAGGCAAAAACAGTCTTGAAGCAAAAGAGAAAGAAATGAAAGCTCCACCCACGGTGAAGCTTACCACTATTAGAGAAGACATCCTGTGATCCATTTTAGGACTTTTGGAGAAGATGATGTGCAGATTTCCTCACCAGCGACCCGCTGACAGGCCCAACTGGCATTCAACGCTCAAAATGGCTGCACATCTGCCAGCCCCAGGTAGGCAGCACCTGAGGCGGTGGGCTGGCTCCTCCACTCAAAGACTCGAGGAGAACCCCTCGCAGTAACCCGGGGGCCCATGGGAAGCAATGACCCAGGAGATCTTTCCCCACGAAGACCTGGAGGAAACCTTCCCAGAGAGATCCTGCACCGCCAAAACAACCGGGAGACCCCCTCGATGACCAGAGAAGATTCTGCCCCTCAAAATCCGGGACGATATTCTCCACCCACCCCATCCCCGCCCCCAGTAACCTGAGGAAATAATGCCTTTCTCAAATGACCGGGGGATATCCGGCCCCACGAAGACCCAGGGACATCTCCCCGCCCCCAGGACCGCGAGAGAGCCCCACCCCAAATAACACGGGGACACCCCTCATGACCAGAGACCGCGCCTGCGAACGGCCCGGAGACCCCCTCTCCCAAATCTACCTGGGCGGCAGAGCCACAGGCTGCTCAAGGCGGGGATTACCTGCGGCCTCAGCCCGTCCCGCGGCGCTTCCGTCCTATTGTTTCTCTCCCATCAAGATGGCGGCGGCCGCGTCGAGCCCCGCCCCCCGCGCCTCGCTCCCGGAGCCCCCTCGCTATTGGCTCGCCCCGGGAGCCCGGCTCGCGGACTGGGCAGCGCGAAAAGCGCTGTTGCTAGGGCGCCGGGATCCAGGCAGCGGCTTCCGGGAGGGGCGGGGCACCGGGCGGGGCCAGAGATGCTGCGGGCCTCGCTTGCCTTCCAAGGGGCAGGATGGCCAGGCAGGTTAGGTGGGTGGTTGGGTGGACAGATGGGCTTTGGGTTTGTGGGTGCAATGAGGGATCCCTGGGTGAACGCATGGCTCAACCACTAGTCCCATTTTTCCAGAGTCCGGGGTGGGGTTCCCGGAGTGTGGACTTTTCAAGGTTAACATTGAGACAGTCTGCAGCAAACTGGGAATTTCGTCCCCCTAGCAGATGGATGGACAGAGGACTAGATGTGGATGGAAGGAAAGATGGACAAAAGAGGGACTGTAGACGGTGAGTAAAGGAATGGTTATATGCACAGATGGATAGATGACTAGATAGAGAGGGGTGGACGCAGGAATGGCTGTAGAGTCCTCTGGGGACTGGTGGATGACCCCGTGCCCACCCTAGGTCATACCAACCTCCACACTGCAGGGCTTGTGTGAAGCGCATTTGCCTTGGGTCCTATGGGTTGGCCAGAAGGGCTCCCACCTGAGTGGATGTCAGTGTGGCTGGGAAACTCGAGGGAGGAGGAAGGTGGTACTGAAGTGGTCAGAGCCTCCTGCCTGATCTCTGTTCTCTCTGTAAGGGAGGCCCACGTTGCTGCATGAGCACTGGGGGTGGCAGAGGTGTGGACACATGCATATGCTTATTCACTCAACAGGTATTTGAGACCCACTTTCTGTGCTGGAAATATAGCAGTGAACAAAAACAGTTAAAAATATATATATATGGGGTCTGCTTTTACAGGAATGGGCAGGAAAGACTTCCTGTGACCAGCTGGCCTCTCCTCTCCTGTGTGTTTCAGGGCTCCTCATGCTTACTTCTCACCTCACTGGTTCCTCCTCTTTGCTTCCTCTCTCTATCTATATTATTTCTCTCATAACTTATCCAGGTTCGTGGCTTCAAATTCCACCTACACATCCATCACTCCCAAAGGTGTATGTCCAGTCCAGATCCTACCTGAGTGCCAGACTCAATGCCCAGCTGTAAACTAGGCATCTGTACTGACGTCCGCTTGGCATCTCAAACTCACTTTGTGCCACCCTAGCTCTGGCTTGTCCTCCAAATGCACTCTACCTCTCCTCCCCCAGCTCAAAGGGATGGCTGCTTAGTCTTTTCTATTGCTCAGACTAAACACCTCCTGACTACTTTCCCACTTACATTTAAGAAGTCCTATTCCGGGATCCCTGGGTGGCGCAGCGGTTTGGCGCCTGCCTTTGGCCCAGGGCGTGATCCTGGAGACCCGGGATCGAATCCCACGTCGGGCTCCCGGTGCATGGAGCCTGCTTCTCCCTCTGCCTGTGTCTCTGCCTCTCTCTCTCTCATTCTATGTGACTATCATAAATAAATAAAAATTAAAAAAAAAAAAAAAAGAAGTCCTATTCCTGGGCAGCCCCAGTGGCCCAGCAGTTTAGCGCTGCCTTCAGCCCGGGATGTGATCCTGGAGACCGGGATTGAGTCCCACTTCTGCTTCTCTCTCTCTCTCTCTCTCTCTCTCTCTTTCTGTCATGAATAAAATAATAAATAAAAAAATTTTAAAAAGAAGTCCTATTCCTTCCACTGAATCATCTACACAGAATGAGAGCACTTCTTGCCAGGTCCATGGCTTCCACCCAGTCCAAGCCACCACTGTGACTAGGGCAATGTCACAGTCAACTTCCAATCTCCTGCTGCTGCCCTTGCCACCTTTAGTGCATTCTCTACACATTAGCCTGTGAATACATAAATCAGAATCGCTCCTGCCCTGCTCAGAACCCTGCAGTAGGGTTCCCAAGAAAAACTCAAAGCTCGCAGGAACCTTATGATTCCCCATTACCTCTCTGACTGCATCTCCTTTCTTTATCTCCAGCCCCACTGCTCAGCAGCCCAAAGTTGCTTATATATCACACCTCATGCACTCTCCTAGCCCAGGGGCTGGGCTCTGGTTGTTTCCATACCTTGAATGCACTTTCCATAAATTTTCCCAGGACTGTACCCTAATACCCTCAAAGCCCTTCATTTCAGACTGCAACTTGCACCTTTCAACCAGCACATGGGATCACTTTTATCCCTTTTCCCTGCTCTACTTTTTTCCTTAGCAGTTACCTTTGTTATAGAGGCATTTATTTTTTTAAGATTTTATTTATTTATTCATGAGACACAGAGATAGAGAGGCAGAGGCATAGGCAGAGGGAGAAGCAGGCTCTCTGTGGGGAGCCCAATGTGGGACTCGATCCCAGGACCCCTGGATCACTACCTGAGCCAAAGGCAGTTGCTCAATCACTGAGCCACCCAGGTGCCCTATGGAGGCATTTATTATCCTTATATGGCATTGCCTGGCTTTCTCCACTAGAATAAGAGCCCTGTGAGGTGAGAATTTCTCTGTTTTAGTCACGGATATATCCTGAGCACCTCAAATACCAAGTAAGCTCTAGAAATACTTGTTGGCTGACTTGAATAAGACGGATGCCATGGGATTTTAAGTGATAAGTGGTATGGAAAAAAATTTAAATGGGGCAGCAGAAGGTTGGAGCAGAATGAGAGTATCCCCTTTCAAGGCTATTCCTGGGTCAGGCCCAAAGGCCCCATACCCAGCAGGATTGCTAGGAAGCCCAACCCAGCTTCTGCTCCTGTTCCCTGCTATAGCCACAGAATAAAAAAGGGCCCAACAGGCACCGTTATTTAAGCCTTCACAGGCAAGCACTTTCCCACCTTCCTCTGCCCACCCACTCTCCCATTCCAATAATCTTGTGTGTGGGGTTGAGGCTGGACACGGCAGGGTTTCCCTGGGGAAGACATTAATTCACTCTTAGATTTCTTCCATAAGTGCTGACCTGTGCCTGACACTGGGTACATAGCAAGAATGGACACAGCAAGAATTTGAATGATTGTTACAGAATCCTTGCCCCATAGTGAGGAGTATGGGGAAATAAAGGATGAATACAACAGTAAAACACAACAAAACAGAACAAAAAAAACAGCTTAAGGGGCAAGTGGGTAACTCAGTCAGTTAAGCATCTGCTTTCAACTCAGGTCATGATCTTAGGGTCCTGGGATCAAGCCCTGTGTCAGGCTCCCTGCTCTCCCTCTTCCTCTGCTTCTCCCTCTTCCTCTGCCTCCACCTCCCCCACCCCCCACCCTGCTGCTTGTGCTCTCTCTCACTCTGCTTCTCCCTCTTCCTCTGCCTCCACCTCCCCCACCCCCCACACTGCTGCTTGTGCTCTCTCTCACTCTCTCTTAAATAAACAAATAAAATATTGTTTAAAAACTCTTAATTATGAGCAGTGTGAATAATGGAGAAAGGGAACCAAAGTGATATGCAGAGTATGGTGCTTACATCCAAGGCAGCAGAAAAGGTATAATCTGAGAAGGGGACATCTGAGCTAACATGAACCTAAAGGCATAGCTGAGCAGGGAAAGATCTAAGAAAAGTCAGTCCTGGAAGGAAGCATAGCAAGGACAAAAACCCCAAGGACAGAACAAGTTTGGTATGTTGGAGGAATATGAAGAAGGTGCTTGGGTCTAATAGAAGAAATCATTCAGAGCTAAATGGAAAGCTCAAAGGCATGAAGGAAAGACTGGAGATCTGGAGGCCAAATCCAGGAATCCTGTTGTGCAAATAGGAGTTCCAGAAGGAGAAACAGGGATGGATGAAATAGAGGCACGAACCAAGTGAATTACAGAAGAAAACTTTTCTGACATGAAGAAAAAGCTGTGCCTGTAGATGGGAGGTACTGACCTCTTTCCCAGGCAGTATGGAAGGGAAAGACAATAGTAAATTCTTAAGTAGTAAATGCTTAACCTCCAATGAGAAAGAGAACATTGTACAAACTCCAGATAGATAGAACAAGTTACCTACCAAGGAGGAAGGGCCAACTAGCTTTAAACTGTCCCCCATAACATAGGTAAATTGTCTGTTATCTATACCTAGTGAAGGGTCAGTCCTCATGCCTGGAGGGGGAAGGTAGCCATTAATGGAATGGAAAAAAGTAGTAGAATTTCCAAATTACCAAGGGAAAAAATGAAATGAATGACAGCTTTAAAGAGAGAAAAGAGGAAAGTAGTATGTAGTTGGTAATTTCATGTAGTTCAATTGAATAAAAAGATAAAATCACAAAGTATAAAATAACAAACATAAAGGAATTATGGAATGAGCAAACATCTTTGTCACACTAAATAACTAATTAAAGATACACTGGATCCCCCCATTAAAGACAGAGACTGGGTTAGAAAAACAAAAACCAGACCTATACTGGCTATAATAAAGATACTTGAAACCACAAGAAAAGATTGAAAATAAAGGAGTTGGCAGAAAGAAAGATTAGGCCTGCACAAAGTAGAAGATAGCAGGAATAGCTACATGACACCAGAGAAGGTAAGATTTAAGGTGATATGCTTTGAGAAAAATAGAGAGGCACATTATTTAACAAAGGCACAGTTTATGAAAAAAATATAAAAGGTAAAATATTCATAACCATAACATACACCAGATACTAAATTACTTTTTTTTAATTGGAAACTAGACAGGATTGGTATTAACACTATTATCATTACACAATACTTTAGAGTTGTAGCAAATAAAGAAAATACAATGTTATAAATATTGAAAAGACAGAGATTGCACAGTCTTTTTAGTTAATGTCATGATTGGAAATCTAGAAAATCCAAAGGGCTTTCTTGAAAACTACAATTATTTTTTTTTAATTTTATTTATTTATTTGAGAGAGAGAGAGATAGCAAGAGAGAGCATGAGTAGGGGCAGGGGAGAGGAAAAAACACTCCTCCAAGCATAGAGTCTGAAGGGGGGCCCAACCCCAGGACCCTGAGATCACGACCCAAGCCAAAAGC